GGGGAGGGGGGGGGGGCGGGGGGGGGGGGGAGGCCTCTCCTTTAAATGCTCCCTACTTTCACAAATAAAAAATTTTTTAAATCCACTCTTTTGGAACGAGAGCTAGGGGAAAGGGAGGTCTGTTTGGACATAACCATCACCGTCCAGCTGATCACCTTTCTCCTCTCGTGTGCCTTTGTCCTCAGGGTACAAGCTAGAGAGAGAAGTTAGGGAACGACCACTGGCGTTTGGATAAACTCTTTTTACACTTCCCCCATCCGCCCGCCTGTGGAAAACTTCTCCAAGTTGGAGCATTAGATGGGTAGCGCCAGAACGCAGAATTCGAAGACGCTTGTCGGATCCTGATTCGAGCCTTGACTTGCATTTGGAGGTTTGGCGGGGTGTGTGTGTGTAAGGGAGGGGGGGCAATTTAACACGGGCTCCCCTCATCTTTTCCCCACCCGAATAGCACAGCTCCTTCTAGGAACAATGCTGGGGTCGAATGTATGTCCTACTTCCCAAATAAGCGATTTTTATAAGCTCTTCTGTTTGATTTCACAAACCAACTGCAACGCAAATAATCAGAAACAAATGTAGCGCGCGGGGTAATTTACTATCTGTGCACTGGTTTGTCGGTCCTTAGAAAACCCAAGACTTTGGAGCAGGATCCAAGCATTTCTTTCTTTCAAAGAAATCGCTGTGGGTTTTGTTTGAAAGGGTTCAAAGACTGGCCCATGAATTATAAATAACATATATCTAACCATGGTGGCTGTTGTTTTCCCTTTAAAAGGTGTACCAAGAACTTGGTGCGCGCCTTGGGGTAAAATGTCAGACCCGGGCCCTGGTGCCCGCGGACGGGTCGGCCTGAGGGTGCGGTCGAGCGCTGCGGCCTTTCTACTAAAAATCTAAGTCTGTTTGGCCTCAAGCTCTCGGTTGCTCTCTGGGAAAGGGGTGCAGCCAAGGGTGCAGGCAGAGACTTTGCGGAGAGTTCGGGCTAGGCCCTCCATACACACCAAACTCGCTACTTGACAATGGTCCACGCACAGCCAGAGAGCGCCCACCCGCCGCCCCCGAGCTGTGTCTAGTGCTTCACGCCGGCAGTCCCGTCGTCCCGCAAGGCTTTCGATCACCGCCACTACCTTTGAAACATCTTGTCACCAGTCTGGTTCTTCCGCACGTAAGGTTCGATCGCTCTGCTGACAAGCCATTTCTTGCGTCTTTGGCTACTAGCTCCCACAAAGGGCGCTCACCCTGGGTGTGTACGGAGCAGGTCGGGGATGAGGAGGATGATGCGTTTGAATATGTTTTTGTAAATAAATGGCGTTGAGGAGCCAGGGGAAGGGCAATCTGCGCTTGTATCCTCACCAGGCTACTCTGTGACCTAATGCATCTTATTTTACTTCTCTGTCCCTCAGTTTCCTCATGTGTAAAATGGGGAATAAAATAGTAGCTATCTCTACTATTGTAAGAATTAAACGATTCTCTGGAAAAGGCTTAGAATGACACTTGACGTATACTAAGTGTGCAATACGTGTTAACTGTGATAATTATCATTATGGCTATATCTTTGTGTTGGGAGCCTCTGTGTATGCTGTGTCTTTCCTGCATGGGTGCCTGTGTGTGTGTCTAAATATGTCTGTGTGTATATCATCTGAAGATTTCTTTGTATATCTCACTGTGCATTTGCTCTGTGTGTCTGCTGTGGGGTGGAAAATCAAAAAGTGTGGCTTGAGTGTAGTTTGCATATAGGTGATGTCTGTGTACCTGGGTATGCAGTCCTGAAATGGGGGCATGAGGTGAGCATATTGGTGAGCTAGGCTGTGTGCCTGGGCCATGAGCTTCCTCCTTAGGCCACTCTAAGCCTCTCCTGGTTTCCAGCATCTGGCCAGGAGCAAGTGACTAGTCAATAACTCAAGTTTGAAGGCCACCAGGAGAGGATGCCTCCAGCAGAATCTTAGGCCTGGACTTTAACCCTCTTCTGCCAAGAAGAGAAATTTATCACCACCTGGAAAAAAACAATCTTTGAGGCCATCTTAGGGGGAGGGGAGAAATAGTCACCTCTGCTGGAATGCCAGGAAGCCAAGTCAAGAATTAATATTTGTTCAGACCCTACCAAGTGCAAATCCCCTGTTATTAGCCTACCAAATCATGTTATGACATGGGCAATATTAGACTCATTCAATCCCCAAGGAAACTGAGGCTTCCTGAGCAGACACGACTGTTTCCAGTCACAGGGTAAGTCAGAGCTGACATTCAAAGCCAGGTCTGCCTGGTTCCATCTCCCTTGCTTCTTTCAATGTGGCCGCTGAAGACCCACAGAGGTATGGTTCTACCACTCACCCCCTTCACCTCTCTGAAGCTGTAAAGCCAGCAACCTGTTTCAGGGTCCCTCAGTGTGGGTCTCCTGGGTCATAGCCACCCCTGGGAGACCAACGCAAGTGTGGGAGAAGAGAAAACAGAGAAAACTCTTACCCTGGCACAGCCACAGGGCACCATTGACCTGGCCCTGCCCTTGTTCTCTGCCTCCTGGCGGCTCCCGGGGTGCCCTTCTAGGGGAGGCAGGGGCCACAACACTCTGCACATCCCAGGCTACCACAAGCAGGAGACCTGGATGCCTGCTTTGCTGGGCTCTGGAACACTGTCTTCCCTTAGTAGAAATAGCAGCTTGAGGTCCGTAGCTCTTCATTATCCCATAAAACTAGCCCCAGCTGTGACCCTCCTCCTGGGAAGATTTCAGAAGCACAGAGAAGTCCCCTGAATTCCATCTCCCCAAATCTCCTCACCCCATCACTGCTGCCTAAAACTCTGCTCACAGTTCCACTAAAAGGTCAGCTTACTGTGCAAAGATCCTTAAGAAAGAACAGAATAACAGGTGGTTATTCATACTACAGTGATAGTGGCTCTTTCCCTGGGAACGAGACCTGAGAGAAGGAGCAGGAAAGCACAAGTCCCCAGGGTTGGGAGGTGGGTCACCAAAGCAGGCCAGCTGGCAAAAAAACCCACTTTTATTATTTTACAGTTTTGCTTAGTCAGTCCTCCCATCCTTCCTTTTCTTCCTTTTCTTCTACAGTCTAGAACTGGAAAGCTGGAAGAGCCTTTAGAGCCTCTCTCTTCCAGGTCTGTGTTTGACAGAGAAGAAACAGACCACTGGAGAAGGTGGTCATCCTCTCTCTGACTGTCCATGAAAGGACAGATCCTGCTTGGGGCGCCCAGACAGCTCCCCCACATGCACACACACACACACACACACACACACGCACGAACACATGTGCACATGTGCATGTATATATGCACACACACATGCACACATGCATGCCCACACATGCACACACATACACACATGCAAGCATGCACATGCACACATATGTGCACACACATGCACACACATACTGGACTTCCTTCCCCACTAACTGCCTTCCAGATCTTACCCACTCAAGAGACCCTCATCTGCATAAAGATGTTTTGTCTCCTTGTTTCCATGGAATCACACACATGGGGAGGAATACTGGGTATAACCTACATCTTCAACAGCAGCATCATAATAGCTATCATATCGGCCTCTTGCTTGGGGCCCCCTTCACACACATGGCTGCCCTTATACTCACATTTCTAGAAAGAAGTTACTATTGTTTAAATTATCCCTACTTCACAGATGAGGAAACTGAGGCTTGGAGAGGTTAAGTAATTTGTCCCAGGTTACAAAGCTGGCGGAGCCTTTGAACCAGCCTCTCTGCCTCCAGATCCTGCTTATGGAATCATTACACCATCTTGCTTCCTGATCATTCACAAAGGGGATGCCACAGGAATGATGCCCACCCAACACAAAGGAAATTGATGCCAGTGAAAAGGGCATTAATCTCTACCATGAGTATCAGAAAGGAAACCGAAGCCCAGAGACCTTGCACCCAGCATGTGAGTGACAGAGATGGAGCTGGAAGCCAGGGCTCTTCCTGCTAGCATCCCTGGGGATGGGGTTCTACCCTTGCCCATCTGAGGACCAGCCCACCTGGCCCTGCCATGGCCGTAGGCCTCTACTTTTCTCCCAAGGCAGTTGGAGATGTGTAGAACAGGAAAAAGAGGCCTCAGAATTCACATCATCACCCACCATCCAGTTCTGAGAACTCAGCTTTGGTGTGGCAGTTGGGCACCAAGCTTCAGAGAAAGCAACTAAGACCTGAGAAAAGGAAGAAACTTGACAAGACTCTAGGCCTTCTGACAGGCAAACCTGTGCTCTCATCTGAGGCTCTATCACCTGCCTCCCACTGACTTCCTTTGAGCAAACAGCCACCCAATGGCACTGCTGGGCCCCTCCCTTCTCCTGAACCCTTTCTAGCTTCCCTGACGCCCACTGAGCACTTGCAGTAGGCTGAGTCCTGGGCTAAGTTATTGCAGACCATATCATTTAACACCCAGGTTGTCCATGAAGCCAACCCTGCCTCTAAGGCATTGAGGTAGGTTTTATAGTCATCTTTCAGCAGCTCAGAAATGAATAAACCAGTAACTGTCACATGTTAAAACAACTAGTAAGAGGTGGTACTGAGACTCAAACCCATGCCCTCGCTAGTCCATGAGACTAGTTATAAACTTGTGCTTTTGAGTCTGCCCCAGATGGGACAGTGGATATGTGTCAAAGTCATTCTGTATTAAGAAAACCATGGTCTATATCACTCTTTTCCTTGGGAGATCAATAAGATAATTATAGAAGGATGAGGAAAATGAACCCTTTTTAAAAACATAAGGGAGCTTTGTTTCTTTCCAAGTCACACCCTGAAGGCAGCTGCAGGGAGAACCACCAGCTCTAGATTTTCAGGGAGAAGGCCAGGGGAAGGAGTTGTGCTTGGCAGTTTGGGGAAAAGTTGCATATTTCCTATCTTTCCAGAAGGGGGAACCCTCGCCACCTTGGCATGGCCTGGGAGTGCTTCTGAGCAGTCTGGTCCATCCAGCACACTGGTGTTCCTGTCTTCTGCCGGCCCACATCCTCATGGGGCCTCCCTTCTAGTCACTTAGAACAAATCCCTTCCCTTACTGAGATCCAGGTAGTGGGTAAAATGAGAAAGAAAAGAAGGGAAGGAAAAAGGGAGAGACTGAGCTCCAAAGAGAAATAGATTCACCAAAGCAGGATCAGATGGTGGTTTTGCAGCGAGGCCAGCCTTTTGCAAATGGGCCAGGCTTCAGGCTGGGGCCCTGGATGGACAGGGTGTGCTTCACTGAAACAGATAACAGGTAGAAAAGAGAGGAAGATAATGGTAAGTGACAAAGAGTCTTTCCTTTGACCAAACTCCAGGTGGGCTCCTCTGAGCCCTTTTTCGACTAGGTCTCAACCTTGAACAAAACACTGACATGGGTTCTGACAGCTCAAGGCTATATCCACAGGACCACCCTACC